TGAAGGCTTCATCAGTCAAGGAAACACACAACACAAAACTGATTCTTCCCCCAACACTTTGGACTTAATATGCTGCTCTGGACTCTCCTCTTAACTGTTCTTCTGATGAACTTCCATTTACTGATCACCTCATGATTTCATTCAGTGTCAATCTTAAATTTTCTTCAGAGAAACGTCAACGCACTCTTTCCTTCCATAATATTAAGAACATCAACCATGACATTCTTTTGTCTCATATTAATAATACCATCTTCACCTTCAATTCTTTTAACCCAGATGACCTTGTCACATTCTACAATAACAGCCTCACCAACATCCTTAACTCTGCCGCTCCTCTGAAAACCCGGTCTGTCTCCTTCTCCAACTCTGCACCCTGGTTCACTCCAGAACTCCGTTCTCTGAAATCCAAAGGTCGGAGGTTGGAGCGACTCTATAAGAAATCCGGTCTCTCAATTCACAAGGAACTCTATGAGAACCACGTCATCCAGTATAAGACCAGTATTTCTCAAGCCAAATCCAGCTACTTCTCTGACATCATCAGTTCCAATGTTGTCAATTCAAAGACTTTGTTCTCTCTCCTTAACCGTTCAGTTTCATCTCCTAACTCAATACCCTCTCACATGGTTTCCACAGAATTTTGCAACTCTCTGATGTCTTATTTCAAGGAAAAGATTATTACAATTAATAAACACCTTGAACCTAATACCGCCCCCAGCATCTATGTTGAACTCCCCCTCCCTCCCCTTCTCTGTCTTCTCCCTCCCCTCTGCTGATGACACTGCTGACATTATCAGCAAGTCTAAGTCCTCATCCTGTCAGCTCGATCCACTTCCCACAGTTCTTGTTAAATCCCGTCTCCCCATCATCACTAACATCATCCACTCCTCCCTAACCTCTGGCATTGTTCCCACAGCTTTCAAATCTGCGGCCATCACCCCCATCAAGAAACCAGGTCTTGACTTTACCAACCTCAGTAATCTTCTTCCAAGCTCTAATCTGCCCTTTATTTCCAAAGTTCTTGAAAAAGCCGTTGCTAGTCAACTTCACTCTCACCTATCCAACAATAACATTTATGAAGAGTTTCAATCTGGTTTTCACCCCCCACCATAGCACTGAAACAGCTCTAATAAAAATAACTAATGACCTTCTTCTTGCTGCTGACTCTGCTCTTCTGTCTATCCTCATTTTACTGGATCTAAGTTCTGCCTTCGA